AAAGCACCACAAACAATTTTTTGTTAATGTGAATTACATTAAGCATCATGCCATCAGCTGTTTTTCTTACTAGCAAATAGTTGCTATTAAAAATTTATCCAGTAAAAATCCAGTAAAACTTGCAAGTTCAGCTGTCATTTTTGCTCTCTCAATTTCCCCTCTTTGGCTAGTTTCTTGCAAGTTTTTGCGTACGAAAACGACTTCCAGTAAAAAACTAGTAAACTTAGTACTGGATTTACTGGATAGTGCGTACGCAAACAGGGCTATTAATTTATGTTGTATTTTTATTTTAATTTGACTAATGTCTCATGGAAAAGCTTTTATAACTCCTCGTCTTTCACCCATGTCAACGGTACTACAGACATCGAGATATACGCAACTGATAGCTTCTTAAGTATTGGTCTACTACAAATTAATGGTATTGAAAATAAACTTAAGCGTATTTTAGATATTATCTTTATCAGTAATAATGTAAGTTATTGGGTATTCGAATGTCCATCCCCGATAACACATGCAAATACTCATCATACCCCCATAGAAGTTGACATTGAATGTTATGTCTACGCTACTGTTCCTCGTGAGAGAAGCCCATCAATTTTTAATTTTAGTTCATGCAATTTTTACCTTCTGAATAACCGTCTGCAAGAATTTGATTGGGAACATTTATTGAATAATATGGAAGTTTACGCTGCATTTAAAGTCTTTAAAAGCTGTGTATATGATGCGTGTATAGAATTCGTACCAACTCTTACAAACAAGACGTACAGGTTACCTTGGTACAATAAGGAGCTCAAGCGACTTAAAAATCGCAAAAGTAGGCTTTTTAAAAGTTTTAAAGCAACCTGACGCCAATCTATCATGGTAAAATATCAGTACTGCCTTAAGAGGTTTAATTCTTTAGACAAGATTCTTTATAATAGGTTTACTAGGAAAAATTAAGTTAATATCAAAAATAACCCCAAAGCATTTTGGAGTTTTATAAAATCCAAGAATACCAAATCAAGTATGCCGTCTTCAGTCTTCCTTAATGATAAGCAGGCTAATACTCCCGTCGAGGTAGCCAATCTCTTTGCAGATTTTTTTTTCCTCTAATTATGGCTCTGATACAGATATTGTTTTTGAAAATTACCCTTTTTCAGATTCTGCACTTAAATTTGGCGCACTACTTGTTTCTGATAGTGACGTGGAAGAAGCCATATTTTCATTAAAGCACTCTTTTAAATTGGATTCCGATGGCCTTTCAAGTGCTATGCTCAAACGGTGCCCTTCTCTTGTCCAGCCACTAACAATCCTGTTCAACAAGTCTCTTTCCGCCGGGCATTTTATTGATGAGTGGAAAAAAGCTTATATTACGCCAATTTATAAAAGTGGCAATAAGAATGATGTTTCGAACTATAGGCCTATATCAAAGTTGGCTACTGTTCCAAAAGTTTTTGAGTCGGTTGTGAAACAGAGGCTTAATTTTGTAGTTAAAAGTTTGATCAGCCCTTATAAGTGGCAGGTCAACTGTTACTAACTAGGATTGTGTTGCTGCGTTGCAGACGGGTCTCCAAGTTGACGCAGTATATACGGACTTTTCAAAAAAGTTTCCATTCAACTTTCCTTGAATGGATTCGTTCCTATCTTTCCAACAGGTGTTGTACAGTTGCCATCGATAATATACTTTCCAATCATTTTGTTGCCACTTCGGGTGTACCTCAAGGTAGTATCTTGGGTCCTCTCTTATTTGTCCTATTTAAAAACGATGTTGGGTCATGCTTTCTGTCGTCTAAGTATTTATTATATGCTGATGACCTCAAGGTCTACGCAGTGATAAAAAACTCACAAGACGCCATATTCTTGCAATCCGAGCTCGATAGACTACACTCATGGTGCTCTCTTAATTGTTTATCTCTGAACGCCAGTAAGTGCTCGTATTCTACTTACACCAGAAAGCTTCTTCGTGTTCAAACCAAGTATAATATTGGCGGTTATGATCTTAGATATGTCGTAGAGGTTAAAGATTTGGGAGTATACTTTGACTCAAAACTAACCTTCGCAACTCATATTAATTACGTTATTTCCTAAGCTTATGGTATGCTCGCTTTTGTTCAGCGTAATAGTCGGTCGTTTAGGGATCCCTATACCCTTAAGCTTCTGTATGTTTCATTGGTGAGATCTAGGTTAGAATACGCGTCCTTCATTGGCGACTCTATCAGTCCGTCTACTCAAACAGAATTGAAAGGATCCAAAAAGTTTTTATAAAATTTGCCTTGCGTTCCCTGAGGTTTTTGGAGCCTGTACCCCCGTATGCATGTCGTTGTCAACTCCTTGGCTTAAACTCGTTAAATAGTAGGCGCTCATTCCCCGCTGCCTCTTTTGTGGCTAAAATAGTGGTAGGCTCTGTCGATTGCTCTACGCTTTTGGAGAAGTTATCTTTAAATGTTCCGTCTCATAACTTGCGGCGTGCTTCATTATTTTATTTGGGATTTCCGAAATCCAACTATGTGAAATTCTTGCCTCTCTTTAGAACCCTCTCCGAGTTAAATGAGCTTTCGGAATATGAACCATCGCTCTCATTTGAAAGAGTACGTCGTGTCCTGCTAAATTACTTTAGGTAGTATTTATGCTCCTTTGCTTTAGCCAGTAAGGATTTGTATTCCATTTGATTGAATAAATAAATAAATAAAATAAAAATTCTTAATGTTAATGGAACAGACTTTGATTTCGCAACCACACAGCTGATTGCTTTGACAGCGCTCCAAGCTACATTTGGCCAAACAAGCTTTTAAAGTAAATTAAAGCATAATGAAGTGAGTAAGGCCAGCAAAGCAAGCCTACATTGGGCCAGCACCTTTATGGTTAAAACAATTCAAGTCTTTGTATTGAATTTTGGGTTTAAAATTTATTTTTTCCTTTCCAGTAGGGTTTTTGCACATTATCTTCTGGTTGAGAATTTATCGTAATGGATACGGATCTGAATAAGCGCCTGGAACACGGCTGTTTGTCAAAAGCATACGATTTCGAACTCGCGTAAATGTACATTTGCTAAATGCGATAGCATGAACGCTCTTCGAAAGTGCTAAATGTTGCATTTTAAATGCAGCAAAAACGCTTGATAATCGTAGTAATCGGCGCTTAACATAGGCGAGGGCAAAGAAAGACGCGTTAACCTCTTTGACGGCGAAGAAAAACGAAGAAGACTTATTTTCGCGGTCAACTATGTTTGCGAGTATACGAATTCCCAAAAGAGTTTTTTCTGGAATGATGTTGAATCCATGTTTACGGGTCTTTTTTCACAAATTTTTTTCATGCATCCTTTTTCGCCGTCAAAACACTCGAGCGTCTTTATTCGTGTCAAGTGACTATATTATAATTATTACCTCGGAGATACCCGCGTTGCGACCTAAGAAGATATAATGTGCTCAATCCTTATTGTAATCGCTCCAACTTTAAGCTATTTAAAAAACTAAGCACTTTGGATACATATTTTAGATGGAGAAGACATTCCTTCTCCAAAGTGCATCAATCTACTATTCATGCTTTGTGGACAGGCACATAGGATATACTCTGGGGTTTCCTTCACCGACCCTCAAAACCTACATCAGTCTCTACAGAAAGACCCTTTAATTCAATCGGTACGTTAACTTGCAGTGTGCGGTCAGGTAGCCAGTAAAAGTTTTAAGTTCAAGGTATCTTTCGGAGTTCCTCATGAAAAATTATGAATCTCTTTGATTGTCTTATTCCCTTCGACTTCCGCCAGTGTGCAGCAATTCCCAGCTAGCTCCTAAGTAGGTCTGCAGTGTATCCTTTAGATGTACCGCAGAAAGGCTCGGAACCATGCAAACACATTTGGGCTCCACTCTTTGCAAGACAGTCAGCCCTTTCGTTGCCTTCAAAACAGTCATGTTCCTGAACCCTCCACAGTGGTACGCTATTGTGGGCTCCCAGGTGGTTCAAGAGTTCGCAAGCCTTGATGCCGTTTTGAGGCTTTAACGCTGCCTGAATATCTGACATAATATTTATTCTGGCCTCATTTGCCTTCTACGATAAAATTCACGAACACAGACTTCGATTGCGAAGATCTCCGCACAGAATATGGTTGGGTACAAGCCCATTTGCAGACTTTCCTGGAGTCTTGGTCCAAGTACGCCATAAAGTATATATGGATGTTCGTATTGTATATTGGAAATAATAAGGGTATACGTTTGTACTGAGGAATCATGTTTGAGGCCGCGTTATACGAACGCACCGGTGAAATGTTAAGGTAAAAAAATTGCTAAAATGTTTGGAGATACCTATTTTCTATTTTCCTCACGTAATTATTACTCCTAGTCCCGAAACCTACCAAAATCCGTCAAGCCTACTAACCTACCAAATGGAAAAAATCCTACCGGTTTTGGTAGGAAAAGCCCATGTTTGTCAACACTGATAGGAAACCCGATATGCCCGCACAATGTCCAATCTCACAAAGGAAAGTCGGAGGTTTTTCGTTTTGTTTTTTTTAAATTATTTACACAGCTTAGTTAGTTAATTGAGTAAGCGTTTGAGCTCAAATTTGCATGAAAAATACGAAACTATAGCGGGAATATATTGCAAAAAAAGCACTGCGTGAAACGAGGTTGAAAAAAATTCGGACATTTTAAATCGAAATGTCATTCCTTGTTATTCCCTTTCGTGCGCTGTCAAAGGGGGCCTGCCTTATCGGCACCAGTGTTACCAACTACGTATATCGCTACTTGAAGTTGTTTAAGCATTAGGGGAGGTTTAGACTTCAAAAATATTAAGTACAATAATCCAATAATTCAAATAGAGATTTTAAGCTAAGTACGTTATGTAAATAAATGGATATAATAAATATGTTAATATGATGTATGAATGCGTATGTACAATGCGAGTAATTTTAATATACATATGAATTACTACGTACAATTAATGATTAAATTTCAAATAGTAGTGCAAATATGTACACAAGCAGGAATTCAAATACAATTCAATGGAATGGGAAATGCTATGCTAACTTTATAAAATGTTGCGTGGCTGACTCGCTAAGAAGTCCACGCTTAGCCATCCTGTCCCCCCTAGGCGCGCTAAGCGGCTAGTGCATCTTTCAGCTCCTTCAGTGTTCGGATCGCTTCATGCACCAGCAGTTTGGTGACTCTTCCTTTCGACGTTATGTTTCAATTTCTTTGTGTAAAGCGTTTGATTGGGTGCTTGTTCTGCGGCGCGGAGTTGTGCTGGCGACACCTAATAAATGCGGAGCTAATGTTCCAAGCAGCTCTCGGTGGTAGCGTGCAGGCGGCTTTAACCGGCGACCAGAGGTGCCGGAGTAATTTCGATGCAATAGCGACAATTTCTGCTGGATGTACACTCGCTTGTAGCGTGGGAGAGTGCGAGACAGTTTGTGCAGAACTTATGAGCTCGCGCGATGAGGAACCTCTGCTGTGGTTGCATGGCCCGAAAAACTGGGCATACTCTGAGAGCATGATAGCGCGCACAAATGCGACATCTTTGGAAGTCCGCTGCTGATGGTTCGCCAGTAATAGGTTGGGTAGATGTCGGGATGGAACTCCATCCATCGACTTTACTACTCTCGGCGACAAGGAATGGCGTGGCACTGGTTGAGGCGTATCAACCTTCTCCTGCGACGAAGTGGATGGGCGTGGCGCTGTCTTAGGTGTGTCGATCTTCCCCTGCGACGAAGTAAAAGTGCGTGGTGCCGGCTGAGGCTTGTCAATCTCCATCTACAAATAGGGATTTGCCAATAGCATAATAATGGGATGTTAGACACTGGTTAATAAGGCAGAGGGATAAGCATATAAGTGTATTGCCTGTCGTGGTAAACAAATGTAGGGAAGCAGTGCGGGTATAGGGCAGTCGTTCGAGACGAGAGTTATCAACATGAACGGTGAAAATATGTTTAGTTATCTGCTGTGAGTGTTGGAGGAATATTTGCGTATGGCTAAGGGCATAGCTTTACAATAGACCGAGTGAGAATGCCGGTTTTGGTGCGTACGTCAACTACACGGATATGCCCATCTGGACCGGGATGGGTCCTTTCTATGCGTCCAAGACTCAGTGAGTGGGCGGCAACGTATCATCTATAATGAGGACGCATTCTCCAGCTTTCGGTGAAACTTTAGTGTCTTTCCATCTTTAATGTTTCTGAAGGTCTTTGAGATAATCTTCCTTCCGGCGGCGGCTGAATTGATGGTGCACAACTTTAATTGAAACGTACGATCACCTATTGAGGAGAGACAAATTGCTATAGTCTACTTCCAAAAAAGACAAGAGGGCAGTTCCCCTTAAAAAATGGCCAGGAGTGAGGGCCGTGAATTCCGTAGGATCTGGGGAGAGAGCGGAGATGGGCCGAGAATTTAATACCGCTCCGATCCTAACTAAAATAGTGGTGAATTCTTCAAAAGTGAATTTATGTGCTCCAGCCGTTCGTTTGAGATGTAACTTGAAGCTTGTCACGGCGGACTCCCATAATCCGCCCATGTGAGCTATAGAATTCCTTCTCTGTTGCTCTTTTGGCTCCAATGAAAGTAGTGTCATTGTCGCTCATCATTATTGCTGGATAGCCTCGATGCCCAAAAAAACGGGCAAATGCGGCGATAAATGCGTTTGTTGTTAAATCAGAGCACAGTTCAAGGTGAACTTGAAAAGGCCCAGCAAAATCTACACCGGTGGTGGTGAAAGGCGGAGCGTAAGTTCAACGATCTGGTGGCAACGCCGCCACGGTTTGAGAGCACGTTTAATGCTTGAGGGCGGTGCAAGCTTTTCATTGAAAAATTCACTTTTTCATAAGAGGCCTGAGCCGGGGAATGTAGAATTCCTGTCTTATCATTTGCTGCATGAGCCGAATTTCTGCGTGTAAAAGAGCTCGTGGAGAAAACGAAGATAGAGAGCAGCAAATCGAAATTTTTCGGGTATAATCAGGGAATGACGTTCATTATAGCTAAGAGTGGAGTGGGCCCGACCATTGACCCACCCACATTTGTCTAGAAGGGGGTATAGAACTAACAATGGGCTTTTTTTTAGGGATTGGCACTGACTGCGATAAGCATGAAATTTCGCAGGGAAGTAACGGTTTTGCGTTAAGGCTATGAGACGACGTTTGGTGGAGCGGAAATCATTGTGCGATAGGGACAATGGGAGAGGTTCCGGTGCGGCTTGATTTCGGTTCTTTAAGCGATCTAAAAATTTGAAGACATATGCCATAACTTTAAGCATGCGGGAGAAAGACGAGAAGCGATCTAAAATGTTGGTACCATCTTCGGCAGCGTGAAAGGCGTCGATTCGACGGACTCCCGGTGGGTTAATGGAGCGCGTAGCGGATTTTGGCCAGGTGTCGGGTGGTTCGGCTAGCCATTCGGGCCCATGCCACCACAGAGAAGAGGAAGCTAAGGCGAGGGGTATGCATCCTTTTGTTCCCATGTCCGAGGGATTTTTGCTGCTACGTACAGGCTTCCAAGCGGAATTTCCTACTAGATCAATGATTTGCGCTGTGCGGTTCGAGACGTAGGTTTTCCAGGATTGGGGCGGTTTTTCCAGCCAGGCCAGGACGATTTCCGAATCTGACCACGTTGTCAATTTTCGATCCGAGAAACCAAGTTGCGATTGGATAGCTGAGACCAATTTAGCTAGAAGGAGAGCACCACATAATTCGAGGCGAGGTAGGCTGATGAACCTGAGAGGCGCAACTCTGCCTTTGGATACTAGCAGGTGGGAGAGACTCATTCACCTTGTGTGGTTCGGACATATATGGTTGCGCAATACGCTTTTTCTGAAGCGTCGCAGAACCCATGTAGCTCCACTTGTTGGCCTGGAACGTAATTGACCCACCGGGGTATTTGGATGGCCGAGATAGATTATAAATTGTTCGCAAACTGCAACCATTTATGGAGACGGACTTGTTCATCCCAGTCAGTTCCATCGAGCCATAGCTCTTGTAAGAGAACTTTGGCTTGAATCATTATTGGCAAGAGTGCTCGCCGACGAGGCTGAGATGGATTCAATGGTGTAAGAGATGGAGTCAGTAATGGCATTACATTGAATCCCGAGGGTTTTGGTGGTACTTGCATTTTCGAATTCGAGAAAGTTGCTATCAAGCAAGTCCTCCTTTTTTATGTCTTTGAGCAAATCACGATGGTTCGCCGTGATCTTTTTTAAGGGAAGCCAGCGGAGGTTAGAGCTTGAATGACTTGGGAGAGAGATTTAGCTGCTGATATGAGGTCATGACCTCCTGAAAGTATATCGTCCACATATGTTTCGGTTTTTAGTATTGGTACCGCCAAGGGATGTGTTATTTTTACATCATCAGAGAGTTGGTGAGGAGTGCGTATTGCGAGAAATGGTGCACAATTTACACCGAACGTGACGGTTTTTAACTTGTAGTCCTGAATGGGACTGCTTGGATAGGATCTAAATATAATTCTTTGGAAGTCCTGAAGTTCTCAATGTAAAAGTATCTGACGATACATTTTTTCTACATCGCCATTGAATACAAACTGAAACGTATGGCATTTGAGAATTAATAGCAACATATTTCGGGTTTGACAACCGCGTGGTGAGGGAGATCGACGGAATAATACTTTCCTTCTGAAGACTTTTCATAGGAAGTTGTTTTTTCCATATGATTGAGGGTGACATATTCCTCTAAGACATTGTCATGTAGAGGTTTTAGGTCGTCTTTTTTGAAGACTTCTCTCCATACTGAAAAATTTCTGGAAAGCTGTGAAAGATTTCCTTTGGGAAACTTGGCTCGAAAGGGAGCCGGACTACGTAGCGACCTTCAGGTGTGCACGATGTAGTGGATTGGTATAACTCTTCACATAGCTTATCTACAGGACTCGTGAGATTGGGTGTCCGAACTTCTCCTACCTCCCAGAACTTTCGCAGTTGAGATTCCCATTTTCCAAAAATTTATAATATTCTTATTTCTCGTCTAAAACTTATTATAAATATCAATTTTGAGTGAATTATCTTCAGTAGTTACTAAAATATCGCAGTTTTCGTATTTCTTAAAATTACCGTTATATGGGAGGTAGGCGTGGTTGTTGTCCGATTTCGCCCATTTTCAATACCATCCGTCCTACGCCCAAAAGAAGTTCACGTACCAAGTTTCGTTAAGATATCTCAATTTTTACTCGAGTTATCGTGTGCACAGACGGACGGACGGACGGACGGACAGACAGTCACCGCTTAATCGATTTCTCTTTTCATTCTGATCATTTATGTATACATTTGTCTATATCTATCTCGATTCGTTTTGCCTGTTACAAACAACCGTTATGTGAACAAAGTTATAATACCCTTGTGCACAAGTGCGCTCGGGTATAAAAATTAAATTACTACACCATTTTAATTAATTAGTGTGTAGTCCAGTTTTGTTTTGTAGAAGTTTCGTTAGTATACACTTCAGTTTTTACACATTGAATATATCTGCATATTTATATTTTTACGCGTATCTATTTACATTTATTTATGTACAAGTCTACAAAATCTTATTACTTATAAAGCGTTTTTTAATCTTCGTTGCTTAACACACATTTTTTCAATTACTTCTCGTGTTGTAATCGGCACATCATTATGTACCGCTAACATCGTTAAACCATTCAGCCGCTCCTTAATGGTATGAAAAGAAGGGACAAATAAGATAGCATATTCAACAATTGAGTAGTCCACTTGCAAAGTGCGCTATGTAATTTTTTTTTAGATTTTTAGTTTTTGGTGGGTTTCATGTCCACTAACAGCAGAGTAAAAAATTGTTCTATATTCTGAAAAAAATAGCATGAAATGTCAGAGAACTTAGATAGATAGAGAAGGTGCAAACTGAAAGTGGAAACTATTCGCGGACGAAAAATTAACAGCGTTAGAAAAGTTCAAGTCGGAATGTAGAAATTCTGTTGAATTTAATGTTGATAACATAATACAATGTTGAGCAACATGAAATGTGATGTTCTTTGCGAGCACATAAACGAAAATATGGTAAATCTTCACATAATTTTCATTAGTTTGTAGTTTTTGTTAAATTTTTTATCTTGTTCTCCTTTTATGAAGATGCAAATACAATTTAAAATAATGATAGTTTGGCATAA